TGGCTCCTTAGTCACTGTGGTGAATCATCGTCATGTAAAAGCATCCACCCTTTTTATCGCTGATAACGAGATGCGGTTGGCATTAGGTTTAAACCGACTGAACAGAGTTCAAAGAGTAATGTAGTCAAAGTCCCTTGACCAGCATTTTTGGACTTAAAGGATCCTTGCCAGGTGGAAGTTCTGGGTGGCATTATTGCCCCAGCTGACAACCCTTCGCCTCTACCACAAAGCGCAAACATGGTGGGTAGCGAGTCATAAGTGCCCAAGCACAGCAGGGACTTTCGCCTCTTCTTCCAGTGCTGACGAATTTATCCCTGATCCAGGGACGGGAGGCCTTTGATGTCCTTGGGCTCGATGCATTCCGTTTTTCCATGACACCAGAAGCAAGACTAGTGAAAGTGCCAAGGCACAGACCTTGTGTTTTCAAAGTTTTTGAAGTGCGGAGAAAAATGCAGACTTTATATTGCAATCATGAAGACAGAGGTATTGTATTAAATTCATATGGCAACAATCCTGATCACATTTAAAATACACCAGTGAAGCAATTCCAGCTACAAGGATAATGCAAAGCGATACAAGGCACAGCAAGATGGAGCAATGGACAGAACAGGAGCTGGAAGGGGCTTCTGAGGCCACTGAGCCCAGCCCCCTGCTCTGCTTCCACAAGCGGCCACCCATCTGGCTGTGGACCCTCATCTCTGCAGCTTCGCCAAGGTGCCCCGGCATGCTCAGTGCATGGCTATGTGGGCAGGAGCTCAGCCGCAGTGAATTACAGGCAAGGAAAACTTGGGTGAAGGGAGCACGCTCTCAGGAGACTCGAAACATGCCAGTTTCGAACCACAGCTCTGATCTCCCTGGCCAGTGTGGACTTTTTCTTTGAACTGAAAAGCATTATTTATTCTGCTGCTCCAGGTGGCTCATGTATAACCAGAGATGCAAGCAAGTGAAAGCCAGTGGTCAGGGATTATGGGAACTGCAGTCTAAATTGCCTGGTGCACATTGCCGAGCCCAGTCTAATTCAGCTTCCGGCTGGCAGCAGTGGGCAGCCAGTTGAATGGTTTGGGGCGTGAAGTCTGCTGCCCTCCCGCTGCCACAGGAGATATTTAGATAGGTTGCCCTTAAACATGGAAGCGCCATTCAGGTGCCTCGTGAAGCCCCGCCCCCTCACGTGTGTCTCCCACCTCTCAGTGCACGCAAACGGCCCCCGAATCTGCCCTGGGTCAGTGTCCAGTGCTCCAAGGAGGGGGGTGCCACTGAAGTCACCGCTGTGCCACATGTCGGGAATTGCCCACCCCCTGCTCTCAAAAATTCAATCCACTGAAACTTGGGATTAGATCTGAAGCAGGACAGGGCTGTTCGATAGCTCAGTGGAGAGCCAGAAACCCATGAATGGTACCTTTGCCTTTCCCCAAAGGTCGCCTGCTGCAGTTAAAGTCGGGTGCTATTTTCAAAACACAGTGCTTTTCAATGTCATTGTTACTTCACTTAGAAAGCTTCGTACTGAGTATGTTTGAGCTCACAAGAACACTTATCACAAAGTGTTCCATTTCAGAAAGCCAAACAGTGACCGGGTGGCCAGAGAGCTAAATACGAGGAAGACTCCAATGCGCTCGGTTCAGTTCAGACTTCAAGAAGATGCTCTTCAGGGATGGGATGGAGGCAACTACAGAATGCGCTCCCCAGAGAGGTCTGCCTGGCACTGTCATTATATGCTTTTCGGCGCCAGGTCAAGACCTTTTTATTTAACCAATATTTTAAAGGTAATTAATTTTAATGGTATATTTAATTAATTCATTTTAACCATGTTACTCGTATTTTATACTTGTGGGGTAGCCAATTTATTTATTTTAGGATTGGTGGGGTTTTAATGTTTGTTAACCACCCAGAGAGCCCTCTGGGCTATTGGGGTGGTATATAAATGCAATAAACAAACAAACAAACTTAAGTGAAACTTCAACACTAAGAAAAATCCATGTAGTGGCAATGTGTAGGCTTAATAGTTGTAGGATATTTAGAAATTGTTTATTGATTATATTTATATCCCACCTTTGTCCTTTCCAGGAACTCAAGGCCACTTATGTAATTCTTTTCCTGCTCACAACACCCCTGTGAGGTAGGCTGAGCTGAGAGTCTGTGCCTGGCCCAGAGTCACCCGGGAGTTGCAGGGCTGAGGGGGACTAGAACTCCGATCATCTCAGACCTCCCAGCAGACTTTCTTTGGCAACAGTCAGAGTATGAACACGGACAGGAATCCATGCAAGGGAAACTCAGTCAAGCCCCGTACCTTGCAGCATGGTGGTACAGGGCTTGACTAGGATGGAGGTGCTATTGTGGGAAGGAATTGGAAACTTGATGGTAACGGCTCAGCCATTGCTTACAGCAGCATCCAAACAGGGCAGAAAAGGCAACAGCAAAGCATTTCGGCTACAAAAGGTGTGGAGCCCTGCGGACAACTGGGAGTGGCAAAGTATTTGCTTGGCTGACTGGCGATGCGAGTAATATGAAAGCAGCCTGGGAGAGCACCTGGTTAATTAACCACATATTGCTGCAATGGGCGGGACATGCTTAATGACATCATGAAGCTGGACACCCTCCCAAAGGGTGAAGCGTGCTCCTCCCGAAGCATGGTGGCACGGCCATGGCACGGCACAGCCTCCAGCCCCTCGGTCCTGCTTCCGACAGACACCCGCATCTTCTGCAGCATGCGGAAGCTGGCCAATGTTTGGAAAAGCTCGCAGCAAAGCAAGCAATACACTGATGTGTGAACGGGTCAAGAAGCCCATCTCTGTACAGACAGAATTTCAGCTTTGAGAAGCCCACAGCAACCAGATCAACCGGAAGAGGAAATGGATGGTATTTCACCCGTCGGGCGTGACCCACGCCTCCTGTGGCTGATGGCTCTTGTTCATTCTCAGTCCATCTGTGGGTGTGATTATGCATTGATTCGTCTTCTGGAGGAAGACTTGCTATCCAATTGTACCAGGTCTTCCTATGCTTGGGAAAAGCCTCTCTCGGTTTGGTCCTTTACTGTTGTTCTAGATTGCAACCATCTGGCCGATCTGCTCACCAAGTATTGATCCCGTCGTTTATCCCTTGGTTGTGACTTATCTTGGGCTTCAGTCAAGATGAAGCTTGGAGTCACAGGGAATGGACTGTGTGTGAAGCCAGAGCAGAGCAGGAGCTCCGAGAATGAGGCCGTGTTCACTGAGTCCCGGTTCACCCAGCTCCCTGGCTTTCCTTGGCTCTTTTCATGGGGACCGGGGCTTTTTGCCTACTTGCCAGTAAGATGAGAGGGGTAAAGGAGACATAATTGTCCTTATTTCACTAACATATGTGGTTTCCTTTGGCTTTTTGCCTGCTTCTCATTACATCACAAACTCAAAGAGGTCTCTTACAGTTCAGGCCACAAACAACAAAAATGTTAAAAAATGAAGAAGTTTGTCACTATTGTCTGAATGGACTGTAATTTTGATATGCCAGACCAAACCATGCACAATATATTTGATGCTCCTAAAATCACAAAATGACTTTCAGTCTATAGACCATGGGTCCTCAAATATGGCCCGCGGGCTGGAACTGGCCCACCATGCCCATTTATCCGGGCCGCCATAGAGGTTTTGGACTCGCCACATGCACGCAGCGAGTCCAAAGCAGCGGCTTGCTCGTGCCAAGATCGCTTTGGACTCGCTCGGGGAAAACGACCTCCGCACGCTTCCACCCAGGCTCGGCCTGGCCTGTGCCCCCTGCCCGCCCCCTTGACGGCCCGCACCCATCGCCGGCACCTTTCAACTGGCGCCCTGTTCAAAAAGTTTGAGGACCCTGCTGTAAAGAATGTTCGTATTGCAGGGTTTTTCTGGAAGAAATGTCCTGCCCCACGTGGCGTCACCATTGCTGGAATGCTTCCCTCCCTGCCCACCCAGGGCCCTCCTTTGGAATCCTTCCCCAAATCCCACCTTTGTGGCAGAGCCCTGTCGGTCCGTTCCCAACAGTGCCAGGCACAGAAACAGGTGCTCTTCTCCCACCTTCCCTATTTTGTCTAGATTGGTTTGTGGACTCCTCCGGGGCTGCCCCGTCAACCTCTCTCTTGAAGGCAAAGCTTGCTGCTTCTGAGGTCGAGCCTGCCACGGAAGCCACGGGCAGGAGAAGAATGGAAGCATCAGGCTGGGGCCACGAAGGGATCCGGGGCCACCACGGGTCAGACGACATGATGCACCTGGCGGTGTGGAGTACGAGCCGTCCGCCTCTCTCCCGGCCTCCCAGTGACGCCCATCCCCTCCTCCAGCGCACCCCACTTTCTCTTCAGTCCACCCCATTAGCCCCCGGGGCATCTCCCCCAGCCTGCTCTTACTTCCCACGGTGCACCCTCAGGGCCAGACCCCCTGGCAAGCCGGGCGGCCCGCAGCGCACCTGCGGAAGCCAGTGCCGCGCCTCCGCAAAGCCCCGAAGGCCGGCCGCGCGGGACGGCTCCCCGCCCGCCCCCGGGGCCCCTCCAGGGGAGAGCGAGGCAGGAGCGCCCCTTCCCCGCCTGCCCGGCGCGCGCCCCGCAGGCGAGGCTCCCGCTTCGCCGCGCGCCCCCGCGACGGGCCTCCCGCGGGGCGGG